GAAAGAGCCTAGCACATTCACAATAAATGTGAGTTGTACTAATCTGATATTTGTGCATTTTCGTTTGCCAGTAAATCCAATGAGATTCCCTAAAGACCAAGAGGAAAATGTAGTGAATTTCCAGGATGTGTAAAATGGAGCTTGAAAATGAGGTGTGAGAGGTAATACAAGCAAGTGAAGCCTGGGTCAGAATGGAGGGGCCTGTGGCTCACGCCCTTCCTCTCAGCAAGGAGCCAGTTCCTGCTAATTGTCTTGTGCAGTTGTGGGCTGTGCAAACAGGGCCTCCTGTGCAAACAAGGCTTCCATGGAAGCCATACATCTAAAATGGTGTGTCAAATCCCACAACTGTTAAATGTCGGTGCATTCTTAAATACCTCCTATTTGTTGAGGACTCAGCATGTGCCAGATATCTGAGAGTTTTAACGGATGATTTCAACTTTTTCTCTTGACAGCTGCATGAGGTGCACTGATCACTATGAGAGAATGAAAGCAGAGAGAGGTCCAAATAACCTGCCTTAATGCCATACAGCTCGGAGGTGGCGGAGCTCGGTCTCAATCAGTCGGCTCCCAGCGCCCAGTTCTCAACCACTGCACTGGACTGTCTGTTAATGTTTTGCTTTTAACTTTTTATTTTGACGTGATTTCAGAAAAGTTACAAGAGCAGTACACAGAGTTCCCGAATATGCTTCACCCTCAGTCCCCAAGGGTTCACTCTTCTCTCTCTTCCGTTCTTTCCTCTGTCTCTATACATGCACTGACTCACTTGTGCGTATTTCCTCGCTCTGTCTGCTGAGAAGGTCTAGAAGTAAGTCAATCCCAGTTGCAATGAGGGCATCTAGAGACAAAGTCTTGATTTTTAAATGCCATTAGCCACTGGAAGAAACTATGGGTTCTGGAAGAAATGGACAATCCCAGGGCTAAGACAGGTTAAGTATAAGATGAGCCTGGGATATCTTATTGTTTCTTAAAGGAAGGAAGGGCTCCAAAATGATGACCAATCACCACACACACAGGAAACTATCTGAAGAGGCTCCTGCTAGCCAAATCTGGGGCAATTTGAACATCAAAATAAATAATTAGAGCATATTTTAAAAAAAGAATTCACAAGCTCACACTTACATAAATAAACAGATTAGGAAAAAAAATATCTTTCCCAACAGAATGCTACCTAATAAAAATAGAAAGATTGGTGGAACTCTAGCAACCCTATTTGGCAATCATATTTGAACTAAATAGGATGTATCAGATTTATGGGTTTGTAGTTTACAATATTTAGCATAAAAGCTCCCATGGTTAGACTGTTGGTTTAGTGGCAAAGATGGTATTATTTTTTGTCCTGGTAATTCTCCATCAGTCTCATGAAAAGCCTGAACAGAAGTGAAAATAATATTATTAATTCTCCCCTCCCCCAAGCCTGCTAGGGTCTGCTGTAAATGGTTAAACTGACTGTATTTCCAGATGTTGTTATTGTCTCCCATTTTTCCCTTTTGGGTCCAGGACATCTCATCTGACATGCTCTAGCCTAATAAAGGGAGCTGTTTCATTTTTGTTCCTTTGATCCAGAAATACGAGTTCTGACACTACCTCTGCTCTGTGCAATGCCTGAGCTGGGCACACGTCTGATTTTCTGATCCTCACAAGAGTACTTGTGAATGAAGTCTGTTAGCCTCCATTTAATAGCCGAGGGTCAGAGAGGTTACGTAAACTCAGGTCCCACAGCTAGGAGATGGCGCCTCTGGAATGGAGACCCAGATGAGGTTACTAAGTCCAAAGTCTGTCTTTTTCCTACTACAAGCATGTGAAGTTCATAGGCCAGGGAGTTCACGGGTGTTTCATTAGTGGGGAGGCACATTGGAGATTTAGGTTTTCAAGTCAACCCAGCGATGAAGATTGCACAGAGTTACGATACCTCTCATATCCCTGAAATCATCCACAAGATAGACCAGAAGAGTGTCATCTCTCATCAGTCCACACAGCTAGCCTCCCCTCCAGCGTTGGAAGGAGTTTCTGCTCTTTGAGTTGAAAACAATATGAAGCAGTTAGCTTTTGTCTAGAGGCCATGTTGTAGGAAAAATGTACATCCTTAATTCCCAGAAGCACACCAGGGCAGCAAGATGCTCACGCTGTGAGATGTGCATGAGAAATGGGACAAGAGGTGGTCTCATTTCCCATTTGCCTCCTCATGGAGTGAGACTGGTGGAATTCCCTGGGCTCCCCTCCCAGTCAGCCCTCTGCTCTGAGCACAGGTGGGCGGGTTTGCATGGGTGCAATGTGCATGTAATGTGATTCCGCTCCGTCACCTGCTTATAAGTAGTTGCCCTGTAAATAATTTTCTCCTATTTTGGAGAGCAGTGCTGGTGTGTGGAATCTTAGTGACACACACTAAGGAAGTCCCTTAATCTCTCCATTCTTCCTTTTTCCATTCTCGCTTGTCTTCCCTCCCTCCTTCTCAAGACTTATCTGGACATCACAAAATGGACTGCATTCCCAATGTGTCATCATAAACTGATTTCCCATAAACATCCATTAGACTGTTGTTTAAGCTAAAGGATTGAGTTGAAATTCGGAGAGGTAGCGGCCGATGCTGAGGGCTGCTGCAAACACGGGCAAGAAGGACAATTGGGTGAGGAGAAATGCTGAGAGCCTATTATGAGCTTTAAGCCAGGTGTTGTCAGTGGCAAATGAAAATTAAACATGGCCCTGCCCTCATCGACTGTACATTCTGATGTGTGTGTGTGGGCAGAGCTGACAAGTATCAGTCAAGCAATCACCCAAATCCTGTACCTGCCCTTGTAGGGAGTTACGCAGGAGAAGGGGATGGGGGAGGTCGGGCACGGGCCCAGGGGCCAGTCGTCCTGGGCTGACAAACGGGTTCCTCCTTATCCCCACCAGTGATTCTGGGCAGATGACAGACCCTCCGATTCCTCAGGTGTGACATGGGGAGAGTTCTAAACCCACAGTATAGGGGGATGGTGAGGACTCATAAATCCATGTGGGTCAAGCGCTCACAGAGTGTCTGGTGCAGACCATCAGCACCCAGTTATCACCGGTTGTCACCATCATGGTCACAGCTTGCTGGTCGGTGTTCACTCTGGCAACCTGCTCAGGGACGCGAGTGGTAGTCACCACTCCTGTTACCTCACCCAGATCCCCTCATGCCCTTTACGTGTTGGGGTGCCCCTCCGCTTCTGCATGGTTCACATCTAATGGTGGGTGCGAGTGGCCTTCCTTAAAGACTGCCCTCAGGCCACTGTGACCATTCTGCATGGACACGCTAATGGCTGGGGGAGGCTGAGAGTTTCCATCCCTGTGGTGCAGCCTGCGGTGCCTTGTCACAAAGGGCAAACGGTGCTGCAAGCCACAGAGCTCCCAGGGGGTCACAGTGAGGCTGGAAGCCTGCTGCGCTCCGCCCGGCTGCCCTCCCAGTTCTCGCCTGGAATCACTTCCTGGATGAATCCTGTCCCAGGCCAGCCTCTGGGGATCTCAGTCATCACGGAAGCTAGAGCTGGGCTCTGAAAGGAGCGTAGGAGGAGAACAGGTAAAGAAAGGGTGCCAGGGCGACGGAGGGTAAGAGGAAGAGCTGCAGGAGCAAAAACTCCCGAGCAGATAGTGTTTAAGGAACAGGAGAAACTGGCTGAAGCCAGTGTGGCGGGAAGCCAGAGGCACGTAACAGTGGGTGGAGTGGGCTGGGTGGCGCCTGTGGGTCCGGCTCCCGGGACTGGAACTTCACGTAAGAGCAATGGGACACCACGGATACAGGGACTGAGGCAAGAGTGTGAGGAACAGCCCGGATGGAGGCAGGACGGAGGTCGGGGGAGATCCTGCCGTGGTCCACAGGGAGGCCGGTGGGGATTGAATAGATGGATTGGAAAGTACCGAAGAAGCAAAATAAATGGAAAATTATTTTGCCACGTGAACGATCATCTTTCTCTACTACTGGGATCCAGATTTTTGTAAGGGTTGATGTTATGATACAGGGCTTGGAAGATGGTCATAGGAGAACATTTTCTAGTGAGACAAAGTTTGAAATTTTTAACTTTGTTGCAACAAATGCAACAAAGAGGAAACATCTCTCAAACATGTGAAAACTTTCATTCTTGCTCTCAGAGAATTCAACTAAGATATACAGATAAAATCTCACAACACACAGATTTATAGTTCTAAAAATAATTTTACAGTTGGAAGAAAGCGTATACCTATTTTAGCGATGTGTACATATTCAAATATAAAGATATACATATGTCTGAAAAATTCTAAAAAGGGAAATCTTTATCAAATATACAGAAGTATATAATATTTTAGGAAAAACAGTAGGAAAAATGTATGAATGAATTACTTAATTGTAAATATAATTTTTAAGAAACTTTTATAAGAATTGCATAGTCTCTCTGCATTTTCCATTTACAAGATCATATTTTTCCAAGGAGTTCAAATCACATAACATGGGTTATATAATTAATAGTTAATCTATAATGTATGCACACTTTACTGCTGTCCCAGTCTGTAGTTGGGAAATTAAGGTATGGAAAGTCACTGAATATTTTTTAAGCTCTGACTGAATTTTAGAAAATTGCCCTAAACCACAGATCCTAAATCAAATACCATATATACCTGAAAAAATAAGCAAATTGCCATTAACAATTAAAAAACTGCTAATCTACTCCTAATGCCACAGAGGAAATACATTAAATAATGAATTTCAAGATCCATTAACAAAACGATGCCACAGTAAATCATTAAGGTATTCTTAGATAAGAGGTTCTGACTTTGTTAACATACTTCTTAAAACAGAGGTATCCTCTCATTTCCAATAATGTTTCTATTTCAAAACAGGAAAAATGCAGTTTCATAGGGACCTGATAACTTTAACCAACATTTACGTTTGTTTACCTTATTAAGCAAGTGTTTTTCCAAATACTACATTCAACAGTTACAATAAGTGGACTGTCACTATTAGTCCAAACCCTAAGCGATTGAGCTATCGTAGGTCTTTCATTGTGAAATATAAACTTAGTTTTGAGAAGTAAAGACTCCAGCAGTGAACTGGGTAGGGCAGGAGCAGAAACATTTAGGGACTTTACTGTACTGCCAGTTGCCCAGATTCCCTACCTGGCACGTAAGAGGCAAGAGTAAACAGGACGATGGGCAAGTCTATCTAAGTCAGGATGTCAGTGCAAGCCAGCGGCATGCCCTGCAAGGTGCCTTGTATTCCAACATGCCACCTCCCTGAGTCAGACAGTCTTAATAAATACCATCAGCTATATGGACAATGCAGCTTCTGGAACAAGTGTCCTGAAGAAGGATATAAACACCCGACTTAAATGTTCTTTATGTGCGTTTCATGCTCTCATTTTTGAAGTTGGCTTTCCAGTAACGTAGACTCTATAAGCACCAACCACTCTTGCAGGAGGGTAAAAGTTGCTGCTCTTGGTCTTGGTAAAAAACGAAACCAAAAACAAACCTGGAAAATAAAGTGTTATCTTCATTATATATCAAAAAAGTGTAATTAAATGAGAAGAATTATCAGCAAAAATAAATGCTAAAACTAAGTGCCATGGGCTCATGCCAAAGGCATGTGATTCTCTGTGTTATCATAGTATATATCACATGCATGCTGTCCTTGCTAAAAACAGGGAGTTTCAAATGTAAGCTGGAATTCTGTCATTATCTTACTTGATTCAACTCTGTTGGGATGCTCAGAATCGGATAACTGCCTAGTGGTATGGGACACTTGGGGAGGAATTAATTTGGGCCTCATTCAGAAATTCTATCTGTAAATGCCCATTTCCTAAAATAACCCACCTATCAGCAAACGCCCATTGCCTTGGTGTTAGCAAATAGCAACTAATTCTAGGCAAATTCTAGGAGATGCTGTTGACAGGGCAGAATGATGAAGGCTAAGTTTGAATACTAATATGTAATTTGACAAGACCTTATTTTAGAAATGTCCTATTTCCACATAAGATATTAGAGGTTTCTTAGCCTACCATGCTTTTATCATTTCAATAGTTAGAAATTCATTTATTGTGTCCGAGGGAAACATAACAATGGAAAAACTCATCATTTCATCAGGGAAATTATTGCTTGGGAATAAGTATACTATTACCAAATAAGTGTACTATAGACCTGTGTTAATTTAAAGAAAATAAATGAGTAATAATTAAATAAATAGTAGTTGGTTATGAATATGGCAAAACTCATGAAGGTGGTATGAGAACACCCGTATTGCCAGAAAAGTTAGTGAATGGCTTACTGAAGGAAAAGTATCACATTGTATTTAATACAGGCCGATAAATATATATACCATATGCCAGAGGGCCATAAACCAAGGCCCTGTGGTCAAATAAGGCCCACCACCTGTTTTTATAAGTAAAGTTTTATTGGGACACTACAGAGCAGAAGGATAATAAGTCCGTGTCATGTAACATAAGTTTTAGCAATTTGTTTCAGCAGCAACAGAAAACCAACACAATGGCCATACCTATCCATTGACAAATTGTCTGCTTTCAAGCTCAAGGCAGAGTTAAATGGATGTGAGACAGACCTTATGGCTTGCAGAGCCTAACATATTCTGGATCTTTATAGAAGAAGCTTTTCCACCCCTGATATTCACATGCAAAACCTGTAATAGCAGTTTGTATTTACTGAGCACTTAGTTGATGCCAGCCTTTGGACCAAGTATTTAGTATTCATATTACCTTTCTGGATAGATACTATTTTGGTTCCCATTTTACAAATGGAAAAAAAAATGGGGACAGAACAGTTAAGTAACTGCTCAAGGTCACCTGGCCAATCAGTGGTGAGCAGGGATTCAAACCCCAGTCTGGCTGCCTCTCGAGTGTGGCTCATCCCTCTGGTCACTCACAGCCCCCCAGATGCTCACCTGAGGCCCCTCATCGCTGATGGAAAGCGATGGGGAGCTCCCGGCTGGGCACCAGGAGGCCGAGATGCAGCATCCCCACGGGCTCGTTGTCTGTGGCCACGATGTCGTATCTGCGGACAATCTGGAACACACATGCCCAAGAAAGCAGAATTACCTCTCTTCGCTTGCCACAATGTGGAATAGCGCAGAATACAAGTGCACAAGTCTGCTCAGAGTTTTACCCAGCAAAGGGCCAAGTGGAGGTGGAGCTCGGCTAACCGGCGCCCGATGCACATTCTCTTCCCAATGCCAAAGGGAAGATGCGCAAAAGGATTGATCTTTCCCTTCTTCTGAAGCCATCGTTCAGGCCTAAACTGACTTGAATCTTCAAAATTTTCTTCACTGGATCCCAACACCTGTGTATTTAGCATCAACACTGTCTAAAAACACACAAACACAAAGTACTTAAAATAATCAGAAGAAAATATTTGAGAGACAAAATTTACAAAAGCAATCTTACAAATGTAAAAGTAACTCACAAATTATAATAGTGATGCTTGCCAATATGTACTGAATGTTTGAAATGTGCCAGGTAATAAATAGGTAAAGAGCTTTAAAATTGTGCATCATGTTGTCATATAAACTCATGTGGTAGATTCTATTATTATCCCCATTTTACAGATGAGAAAACTGAGGCTCACAGAGGTTAGTAACTCACTCAAGGCTATAACTGAATCTAGGTCACTCTGTCTCCATAACCATTATTACTAATACGATTATTATGTAACATGTCAACTATGTACTACAATCTACATATTTCCAAAATGAATGCTCTCCAGTAAAAATGTTTAGGGATATCTGATGAATATATTTGGAAAGTGTATTTTTCAAAGCTCTGTAAGGTACACAAGGTACAAATGATACTTACTCCTTTGGGTAAAGCATATTCACCAAGAACCACTGCTTTATCAAGAGTCCGAGTTGTGAATGGCACACTCGGGGTAAGCCTGAAAGAACGAAATCAGAGATATAAAGGTGGGCACAGAACTTGGTCTGTACCAAGTTCCAGGTCATGTGTCAGTGGGACTACATTCTGGATAAATAATTGCTGCATACATTCATAGTCAAAAAGGGAACATGATTACAACTCTTCATAAAGAAATTCGGTCTCTTTTATCTCAATATTTACAGTCTCTTGTTTTTATTCCTTATCTTATTGTGTTGGTTAAAACCCCCAGTATAAGCCTGCTTAGTAGCTATTAATAGTGTTTCATTCTAGACTTCAAATGTGGATTTTTCATGCTTTACCCTTAAACTTGATGTTTGTTCTAGTTTTCTCTTACCTACCCTTCATGGAGTTAAAGCGATTTCCCTCAAATCCTAAGATGTGAGTTTTGTTTTCTAGAAAGGGTGTAAGAAAGTATTTTCAAAAACATTTTCTACCAAGGGCTCAAAAACAAAGATGTCTCTATGTCTCATCAAAGAATAATATGGTTCTCTTGCTGAGCTCTCATCTCACATCCTTGCACTCTACCTCTGATCTTAGTCACTGCTTACAGCATTCATTGGCATGTGGTTGTTACCAGTTTAAAGGGGAAGGATCACTGACTTTCCAAGATTAAATAGAATTTGCCCAAATAATTAAGGCATTGAGTAGCAGAAAGGAAGATGGTCCTAAGGCTCTTTTTTTGAGTTGGATACATGTTTATGAATCCACTGTGGGGGCTGTCTATGGGCAGAAGACCCCTTGTTACATATTTAAGAGACCAGGTTCCTAACATAGTCATATAGGCTTAGGGATGTATTCTCACCTCATAGATTCTTTCAGACAGGCTCTTAAATATGGCATATTCCTCAAATCCTCTGCCCGTGGCATCTGATTCTCAGGCAATATGCTCTGAATTTCCTTAAGAAGCTTGTGTTGCACATGAGGATTACGGGATAAATTGTAGAGAATCCACATTAAGCTGTTTGCCATCTGAAAGACAAATGGACACAAATTTGAGTTTCTGCACATAACTGACCTTGAAACCACGATAAGCTGAACAGAAGGTGATGTGGTGCCCAGCACCATGCTCTGTGGACGTATCAATGACACTTTCACATGTACTCTTAATTGTTGTGCTTTAAATATAATATAGGAAAAGTCATTTATTTTACAAAACATGTCAGTTAAAGATAGCATATTTACTGAGGGAATCAAAATAGAATCCTTTAAATAATCAACTGCATTGGGATACTTAAAATATACCTGGGTACAAAAATCATTGGAACACAAGGAGAACATGTAAAACTGGTGAAGTGAAAGTAAGACGGGTAGACTGTGCTATTTACCAAGATGTTACACCTTTGGGGTAACTGGGTGAAGGATACAAGGGACTCCTCTGTTTTTCCAAGAACTGCATGTGAATTTATAAAGATCTCAAAATAAACATTAAAGTAAAAAATCATTTCATGTAAAAGACTGATACAAAAATTTAGGTGGGGAGAAAAGGAGAGCCTCAGAGTGTTGGTGATGAGAGGTTGTTTCTTTATTTCTTTAATTGTTATGGTGCAAATGCACAAGAAACTGCATTGCTAGAATTCAAAGAGGTTTTCCTGCTACACCCTAAAAAAGTCGGACAAAATAAAAGGGCATCATCTACACACAGGGTCTCAGCTCCATGCAAAGAGCCCTAGCAGTTGGATGTCAGCACCAATGTCAAAAATTCTAGCATCAAATTGTATTTCAAGGAAGCAGCAGTTTCAAAGGCTCATGGCCTCCCAGGGGCATCGTTTATTCCCTTTGCAAAGGCAACAAGAAGAGAAAAATATTGGCCGAAAGAGCCAGTGTAGCTTTTAGCTTCATAATATTCACCACTGGTAGTCAGATGTATTTGTTTTTTAGCCCTTTTTTTTAAAGCTAATTTAAGCCAAATATTCCCGTAAAAAAATGGTCATTGTGTCCTCCCTCTGCAGACATGAAGACGCTCTTGTTAAATGCCGTGTGCCACTCAGAGAAATGAGCAAAGGGCAAGACGATGTGGAGCCGATGGCATTTACTATTTTTGGAAGAAGATGCCTCCAAGACAGGCTTCTTCATGTCAGAGGACTGGCAGCCTCAGCTGCAAATAAACCATGGACGGCATCATTCTAAGAGTCCGAATTACAAAACAGGAAGAGGGCGTAGCCACCAAAGTAGATATACACTTCCAAATTTCTCTGATTTTCCAAATATGACTTCCAGAAGAGCCAGGACTAAAAAAGAAACATTTGACCATATCAGTGTGTCCCTTCCCGCAAATACCAAATGAAGTTTCCCAAAGGCAGATAACTGTGGCTTTCCCCAAAGCCATGTCAGCCAGCCTGGGCCTGTGAGGGTGATGGCTCCGGCGAAACCGCTCCAGCTTGACCTCCACCGAGCAGACCCGTCTCACAGCTGAGCTGGCATCCCTGCTCCCACGCTTCCTCTGCGAGTGCTCATTCTTCACCCACCAGCCAGATCCCACTTTTCAAGACATAAATTTGATGGGGCTACTTCCTTGCTTATAATGCTCTGAGAGCATTTCCATCACAGGTGAAATAAAATCCAAATGCCTCACTAAGACACCTGCTAGACATGGCCCATCGACTTCTCCAAGGTCAATCTGACCACATCTGTTAGGTCTCCACCTTCATGCCTCTTTCTGCGCCAGGGCCTTTGCATGTGCTGTTTCCTGTGCCAGGAGTACAGATTTCCCCATGGCTGGCTCCTCATTGTTCCTGAGTCAGCTCCAGTATTGCTTCCTTAGAGAGGGAGCCCTGTACCCCATCTCCATTTCTTTCTTTTACATCACTCTGATGGTTTCTTCCATGTCCTGTACCAGTCTCTGAATGACCATGCATATTTGTTTGTTTACATATCTACTGTGGTTTTCCCCCCTAGCAGTTAAGTTCCACAAAGGTAAGGACCTCTGTCTCTGGTTCATGGTGATTTCTCAAGCACCTGAAACAGTGTCTGGGACACAGTAGGACCTCAATAGTTCCTGTGCACCCCAAAATAATTCATTTATTTAACAAGTATTTACTGAGCACCTACTACACTCTAAGTACTGTGCCACATCCTGGGAATAAAGCAGAGATAGGGCCAAGTCATCACACTTACGAAGTTTACATTCCAGTTGGAATGTGGAGTTTATTTCCCAGTTGGGAAAAAAAAAAGATGGGTGAAGCTTTATCTTTATCACTCTGAAGAGCCTCTTAGGATAAGGGATTCAACAGGAAAACAAATAGCAGAAGGAGAACTGACCACCCTGCTACTCTATCTGATGTAAAAACCCCTATATTTTCTTCAGACGAGAAACAGCACAGAAAGGGGAAAACATGGAAAACAAATGAACTAGTCTAGAATCTTCTTAGAGACGGTAGGTGTATGAAATGTAGAGCCTATGAGGAATATTAACATATATCTCTCCAATGAGAGTTCAGTAAAAGAATCAAAGAAATTAAGCCCACCTGCATACCTATCAGTATTAGTGTTTGGCATCTGGCTGTACAACGTACCTCCTGGGAGTATCGACCAGGGTGAGGCCAGAACTTTAGTACTGAAAATGAACTGTTCCATTTAAACTGAACTCAAGTTTTCCCAAACTCGCTATGGTGACATTTTTAAACAACAACAAAAAATATTATTGAACTGGCAAGAAAATATTCCAGTATTTTTGGAGTAAGTAAGCACAGTTAGGCATGTTGAGGGAACATGCAGAGCCATTTGAACTATATCCAGTTTTTAAAACCTAGATTATCTACCTTGCTGGGGGCTGGAATTGACTGCTTCTCCACTTACATCCTACTCAGGATTTTTGTCACTTGAACATGTGAATTCTTCTCTCGTGCTTAAGCATGGAGGCCGTCGCATCTACTTTGAGACTGTTTATTTTTGTTACAGCAGTGCTCAGTTATCCCTTGTGAAACGAGTTGAACGACTGTTTAAAATTCATCGTGGAAAAGACCTTACAGAATATTGAGCAAATGAAAGTGAGGCCCACCCTACCGTTTCCACGGCAGCCAGCTGCAGCTCGGTGACCGCCGCGTACAGCTCTTTCTTTGACAGCTGATTCTGGTGATAAATATCACAAAGGAAATCCGTGCTGGGCTGCCCAGAATATTTCTCTAAGCGGTTGTTGATGCAAGATTTGACTATGAGAGAAGAGAAGAGGGAGGGGAGATCAGCTGAAAATTGGGTTGAGGACAGAATGAATGGGATAAAAGATTAAAACCCTCTGCTACATCGGAAGGGGCCTTTCAGAGACACTGACAATTTGTTAGATAAGCTCATATGGCACTGTTGTAAGTCAGCAAGGGCTGATCGATGCCCACATGAGCAGAGCGTTTCAACTTGAACGTGCACAAGAATCACCTGACCACCTCTTACAATGTAGATTCTGAATCAGGTCTGCGGTGGGCCTGGAAGTCTGCATTTCTAACAAGCTCCCACGTGATGCTGATGTTGCTGGTCTGTAGGTCACATAGTGAGTAGTAGGTGCTTAAGGCTTGAAGCGATGAGACAGAGGTGAGATTTGGGTCCACTCTCAGAATCAGAACGTGGACCCAGAACACGTGTCTGGTTGATAAGGTCACTAATTCAGGCAAAGTGGGATTCAGCTCCCAAGTCATGTCAGGGAGAAGCCCCTCTCCCAATCTTATCAAGCATAAGCACACACACAGGTGTAGTGCCCATACCTGCTGGCAATACAGTAAACATTCCCCGTGTTTGTGAAGTACGTCGAACTGTACCTCCGTCACTTCAATCCAGTATGCAAGCCACCACCAGAATAATCATGATGGGGATGATGCAATAATAATGACGATAATAAATGTGACAGCTGTTCAAGTCGGAGCTTTGGGAACCCTTCTGCCTGGCTTCAAACCCTGGCTTTGCCAGCCTAGCCTGGGATCTTGAGAAAGTTGCTTGACTTTTTTGTGCCTTTGTTCTGATCACTGAGGACCTACCTTACAGGCTTTTTGGAGAGAATTAAATGAGTATATGTAGGTATGTAAATATATATAATATAATAAATAGAAAGGAGGACCCTTCTGTTAGTATGTATTAGTGTGTATGTGTGTGTGTGTGTGTGTGTGTGTTCATAGAACAATACCTACCACCAAATAGTCCCTCCATAACAATGTAGCAGAATCAGCTCTGATCCATTAAGATATTGTAATATGCCAGGTTTTTATGTCATCTATACTAGACTTAGAGAGAGGTGCATGGAGGTAGAAATTAGTGCATTTTAGAGAAAAGACACCTGAGGATGAACAAGAGACAGCCCATTTGGCCGGCCCACCACATCAGTGACAGAGCTGGGATTTGAGCCTAGGCGTCTCTGACACTGAAGTGCTTGCCTTTAACCACACCCACTTCAGAGACTGCCGAAAACCACCTCCTGTCTTTTCCTTAGAATTCATCTGCACCAGGCTGATCCCCCAACTTGGGTTTGCAAAGGCTGAAAGAATCAATAGGAGGAGTAACAGCAGAAAGGGACACGGTGGTCAGGCCACGAAGATCAGAACTTCCAGAACTTGCCGCAGCAGCTCCGGACGGGTTGCCGGGGATGTATGGCCGTATTACCTGATTTGAAGATGGTGTCCCAGGCCTGCGTGTGGGTCTGCCAGACCTTCGTGTTGAGGCTCTGGTGCAGCTCCACCGGGGTGACCATCATCCTCCCGAATGTGCCCATCATCTGTGAGGGGCACAACTGCCTTTTCATCCGCGCTCTCCTCCCAAAGACCCTTCCGTTCTGGAAGAGGGGCGTTCTAACTGCACCCCATGCTCCCCAGGCCTGTCCACACCAGCCCTAGACACAGTACTCTCCCCAGCCCCGGTGCTGTAATGAAAATAATCTTTGGGGTGAATTTTTATTGGATATACGTAATAAAAAATTTCATCTTATGACCTAATCATGATAAGAAAAAGGAAAAGGAAAACTAACTTTCATATTCACATCAATTTCCAATGATTTCCTAAACAATTTTGTAGCATCTCCCATATCCACATAGAACCTAAATGATTCAAAAACTTTAAACCTAAACATGTTCAGACTGTTTTTCAAATAGTATGTTGATTAACTGACCTTTAACTGAAATACTTGAGCTTTGCCTAATGATCTCACGGGCTCCTTCACTATATGTGCACATATGCACATGCATACAGGAAAATACATAATATATATTAAACTGAACCCCTGATTACTATCAAATATGTGTGTGTGCCACTCGTGGGGAGCCCCTGTGACTCACATTTGCTAAGTCCCCTGAGTGACCAGTCGGGAAACCTGCTGTCTTAAGAGGATGCTTACTGTTTTGATGGCTGTGATGAAATCCAAAGCTTCCTCCCCTGCATTCTTCTGAAGGAGCCCAAATCTCTTCTCATAGAGCACAAGGCCGATGCCTGTTATTTAAAATAATCAACACATTACATGATTGCAGCCACAGTGGAGTCTATGATTTGCTGGCTGCTAAAGACTCAATTCTGTTTCTCATAAAGTGAGGTCTTTTTAAGACCAAAGGCAAGAGTCTGAGAGAGTCTTAGAGAAATGGGCATGACCACTCTCCCTTCTCTTTCTAAAATTATCTCCAGGTCCAACGATCCACCCCTCTGCAGGTCAGAAGTGCCACTGTGAAAATGTAGCTATTTTTATACATGAGTGAATCTCTCCTGTAAGGTCTAGTTTTTGTCAGTTTATCATTGATACCCTATGTAGCAGACCTTGTTAATGGCCTACCCAACACTCATTCTCCCCCCCTTTTCCCTAAGAGAACCTGTTTTACTTAGAGGGTCCATGTATCAGTCCTCAGGCCATCAATCAGGATTGATCCTGTTCCCTGGCTTCCCAAGCTTCCTGTGGGAGCCTGAGTAGCCACCTAATCGAGGTCTGGTCAATGAGACAAAGGGAAACATCTTTTGCTTTGTTGATAAAGGGGTACAAGGACAGCTGCCTTAGCTCTTCCCTCTCTTTCTCGTTTTTGCCTGCAATGCAGAGGGGAGACCAGGAGGGCAGCAGCCATTCTGCAGCAAGCCAACAAGCTGAGGATGGGTGAGCACCAAGACGGCTCAGGCTTGGGTCCCCAGGCACACCGCTTAGTGCCGGCTGGGGACCGCCTTCTTCAAGACTTCTTTCCTGATGCCAGACAATAATTTGTGAACCGCCACAGTCAGGTTTTCTTTGACTCACAATGAAATGCATTTCATGCTCTTTAATTTAGTATTTAATTTAGGTATTTCCAGTGGACAGTTTCCCAAACACACTTTTCTTCTCCTCTATAATCATTCCCTCTTTACTCTAGTCGTCTTTCCCTAACACCACTGCGGATTTCTTATTTGTAGGGAGCTTTTCAGTGTGCTTAGGTGATTGGCCCATAACTTTAAAGTGGGGCTGATCTCCTGGGAGGACAGATAGGGACAGAAGCCTTCATCCCAAGGTTTCCCTCTGACCCTTCCCATCAGCAGCCAGAGTGATTCCTTCCAGCACATCAGACCTTGCCACCTTATGCTAAAAACACTTAACTATCGCTCCTATGTGCTCCCAGCCTCAAAGCCAACCCTCAGCCCTGGTTTATATGGACTCCCATGGGCTGGCTGCCACCTTCCCCACTTGCCATGCTTCTCCCTTGTATGACAAGCTCCTGTCATTCTAAATGCCTTTAACAGAATCCATTCTGTTCCTTCTGCCTAGAACAGTTCTCCTAGTCTCACTTCCACCTGGAGAACTCCTACTCATCTGCCAGGCCTTAGCCGAGAGGACGCCGCCACCATGAAGCATCCCTGACTGAGCTCAGCTGGGCAGCCCTCTGGGATCTCCCACAGCCTCGGCCCTCCTCGGCCAGGTGCCACTTTGCTGACATGGCCTGCTCCCTTGCCTGTACCTCCACGAGGCAGCATCCCCGTCAAGGCAGGGCTCTGTGCTATGCTACTAGAGTGCTCCTTGGAGAAAGTGATCATCTCCCCTTCTGTTCTGAGCCCTCCATGGCTCCCCATCTGACTCAAACTGAAAGCCTAAGGTCTTGCCTGGACCTACAGGCCCTGGCTCGACCTTTCTCAGCTCCTCTTTCCCCATCCCCGACAGTCCTCTCATGCCAGCATCCCTGAAGTTCCTCCCTGGGCACATTTGCACTTCCTGTCTTCATTGTCTGGAACAATCCTCCCACAGATGCCCTATGGCTTGTTCCTTCCCTTCTGCAGACCTCATTTCAAATGGCTTTTTACCAAAACGGATTTGCCTCATCCAGGCACCTATGCTCTTTCTTGACTCCCTGACCCTTTGGCAGACTGTATATTAAAATGTGTTCACCTGTCGATTATCACCTCCCACTAGAATCTAAGCTCTGTGTGAGCAAGGATGTTATCTGTTTTGTTCCCTGCTGTGTTCCTAGTATGGTGCCTGGCACATAGCATGTGTTCAATAAATGTTTGTTGAGTGACTACATAACACACCACGGTGCAAAGCCTAACTGAAGTGCCTGAAAGCATTTAACGGACTGCTAGGGCCTTGCCTAGTCAGCAACTGTGTATATGATTACAGCAGAGTTATCGACAGAGCCATGTTTTATCCTCAAAATCACTTGCAAAGCAAAGGAACAAAACTTACTTTCAAATGACCATTTGTTCAGTTCACTGTATAAGTCTTCAATGTGGCCTCTCTCATCACACAGCTCATCTGTTCTATCCACAAAATCAGCCAAGACCTTGAAAGAAAGAAGACACAGAAGAGACTTTTCAGCCAATGAAGGAAAACAAGAGTTGAAAGCTCGGTCAGCGAACTTCAGGTTTTGTTTCTTTCTATACTCACTGACCAAAACAGTATTCATTCTGAATCAACACCTATAACAGACGCCGCACAGGAGCTCACCTTACACCCTAACAAACTTGTCCTGGGGCTATTTCCTCAGCTTTTCCTGCAGCCACCCTGGAGCTTAAGTTTCAGCTTTTGATCTAAATTCAAGAAAAGGAAAACATTTCTTCTAATCAGAGAGGAATCAGCCAACTGTCCCTCTTGGCACATCTCAAAGGCTACAATGCTATAACTATCCTGAGGTTTGCCGCTTCCATATCTGGGCAAGCAAACATCTCCTTACTGGTTGGTATTATGTTAAACATGTTGGAACCAGGAAATCTTCAAATTCTGGAGGCAGCCCCTTCACTAAATGGCTCTGGGACCTTGGATGAGTTACATAAGGCCTCTAAATGCCAGTTTCCAAATCAGGCTTTTAACAAGGCTTGTATAGCACCAAGCGCTGCCCCTGGTGTATTGTCTTAGTGGATTTTCACAGCAGCCTTGTGAGGTAGGACGTTCCATCGGCATTCCCATTTCTTAGGCAACAGGTAAGAAAACTGAGGCTTTGAGAGAAGCTAGGACACTCACCCTTGGACACATAGCTGATAAATGGTCATCCTGGGGCCTGCAACAAGGTATGTGTGGCTACATAGCCTACCTGTGTAACCGGGGGGCATGTTTAGCTTCCCCACACAGTGCATTGAAAGTACTTTGAATTTGCTGCAATCCAAAAATTCAGAAATTTCACGTAAATATATGGACTAGCTACTACTTATCAGAAAATAATTATAATACAAGATCTGGGAACACTGGATCTGCATTCCCATGTGACAGTCATTTGCTGGAGCTAGGGCGGCTGTCCCCTTTGCAAAAGGCATGTACTCTTCTATTCGCTGAAATCCCTATTGGGCCTGCTTTATACATTTATATTAATTATCTGATCCCTGGAAGCCTCTGAGTCTGCAATCTCTCACCTATATGATCCTATCAGGGGCCAAGTTCAGCTCAAAATACCCCAAGTGAACAAGAGTAGAAAGAAATTACAATATGCTTATATCCCTCCCTTGTGACCCCCAATGGCTAAATGATAAAGTCTAAATACTTCAGCATGATACAGAAACATTATGTCCAGCATCATTCATAGAGAGCCTCACTTCAGCTGCATTGAATGTATTATTTTCTCTGAATGCACCATGTCACCTCATGTCTCCCTATTTCCAGCAGGCTATTCTGTTCTCTCTTTCCCCACCTGCTCTGACTTACAGACTCCTACTCATCCTGCAAAACCCAGCTCAAATGTCACACACATTATCTCATTTAATCCTCACAGCAAACCTGTGGAGTAGGAACTGTTGCTCCTAGTTTATAGATTTAGGAAACTGAAGTTTAGGGTGTGGTATAGATAGGTTACATGGTCTGTGGGTGGAGGGCTGAGGTTCAAATCCAAGACTGTGGCATACGACAGTCTGTGTTCATAACTTCTCCCTTATTGCAATATTACTTTAAAAGAGTGAAAAAGGCAGGAAGGGTTTGGGGGCAGGAGAAGGTGGAGGGGAATGAGTAGAAAGGGGAAACTCTGCATCAGCCAAATTGCCTGCTTTCCTCTCTGCATTTTGCAGCTGTGACTTGAAGCTCTGTAAATATCCCTCCCAGGCCCTTTCTGGGTCCCAGCAAACCTCATTGATTTTGTTGTCCAGCTTCATAATTTCTACTGGTTTCATTAGTTTCTTTTGAAAGGCACTGCGGACCCTCTGCCAGTCTTCTCCTTCCCTGCAGAGAAGTGGAATTACATGTAGAGCACATTGAAAAGAAGGAAAGAGAGAAGCAGAGATACTTCCAGCTCTGTACCTGTGTGAACTATATAACCAAACGAATACTGAAAATCATGCCAAGAAATAGCAGAAGATATCAGTATTGGAATATTCAGGGTGGGCTTGATAACAGGATGAAAAGCATCTTTCCTTCTAGCCAAGGATTGCAAAAGAAAGGGTGAGGTCCAGATGCTTAAGGTTCAGGGCTTTTGAGGTACCCTTGCTGGGGCTGGCCTAGGAGGCCAGATACCTCAATTCCTAGCAGTAAGTGTGGGCGCATCAACACTGCCCTCACCCGCAGTCCAGATCTGTTTGAGGAAAAATCCGGTCTTCTTTCAATCCATTGACTTGGGTTGAAAGGCACATTCACAAAACACCTCATATTTAAAATATTGCCATTGCCTCCAAAAAACATCTGGTCTGAGATTCATTAGAATTGTAAAGAGTGTGTTCTCGATCATGTGCCCTTCTTCACTTGCCCCACTGCTGAGCATACAGCCTGTGATGCACCATGTATTAATATGGCTTTAATTCCAGTAATTATATTCAGACAAATACAACTATTAGGCATTAAATCTGGGGGTAAAAAAAAGTGCTAACTTATTAAATGCTAACAATTAAGTAGAGGAATCACATCACATTACAGCATTTATCTATCTAAAAACACAACCTTGACACCCCTCCTCACCCTACCTTTCCAAGAAGACCTGTAAGCCTCCGTTCCCCTCCAAAAGGTCAATGCCAAAAGCAAAGGGAAAGTGAACTTGTGGCATTTGAGCTCACAAGAGGGAGTTACAGAGAATTTTAAGGGCTAGTTTTGTTTGCCTGGCACTCTGACTTCAGAACAATCATGAGCCTGAACACCACAATTTTTGGCATTTCTTTCATGGAAAAGCTTGGCGCTGCCCAGTTGCCCTGGAGCTCTCATCGGTTGGGTGCCCACTGCCTCTCTCCCTCAGCCGCCTCCAGTCTCTGCAAGAACTGGAGGCTGCTCCAGGCAGGGGCGTTCATACTCGCTCTACGTTGAGTCCAGCTCCACCGAATCCCTTCCCAATTTCCAAGTTAATCAGGCCTAGCCGCCGCCGGCCCCCATCCTACCACCTGGACTCACAGGATCAGCAGCCCGTAGCCCTCCTTGCGATAGTCGCGATAGGCCTTCCAGGGTTTGATCTCCAGCCGCTGGGGATAGGCGCTCTCGGTGCGATACAGCGCTTCCAGCAGGCACGGGGCGCCCAGGTGCACCGAGTCGAAGGAACCCAACTTCAGGCGGAAAATCTTGCCATACTTCTTGTGGTACTCTGCCTGCAGCGGGTCGGGCAGATGCGAGGTCAGCGCGCAGCCCCTGCAATCCCAAGAGCGCTTCTCCCTCTTCCTGCCTCCCCGGGCACGGGCGCGGCTGCGGCGAGGACACCCGAGCGCACCGTGCGCCCGCGCCGCGCGCCTTGGAGAGGGTTTGGAGTGCCCGGCACAGAGGGGAGAGGGGATTGGGGAGCGACTAGGCGTTTACCAGAGTGTGGTGCTGTGTCTTGAGCCCGCCTTTCCAGAGTATCTCCAGCAGGCTGCCCAGCAGCGGCCAGTTGGTGGGGCCCGGCAGGGTGGCTGCGCTCTGCGCCTCGCCGGGTGCCACCAGCGGGCAGAGCGGCACCTCCCGCGTCGGAGGGGGCGCGCACGCCGTGGATGTCACCGGCCGGGGGGGCTGCCCCAGGCGGCGCAGCTGGCACAGGAAGGCGGCAAGAGAGCAGCTCTTGCTGATGGGGGAGCTCATGGCTGCGGAGAGACCCGGCGCGCGAGCAAGTGCGTGGCGGTGAGAACCGCAAGGTCGCTCAAGAAGCTCCGACTGGATCAGGGCGGGTGCGGGGCCTGGGGGGTTGACGGGTCTAGGAGAGGGGTTAAGAGGGCCAGTGGGTGTGCTGGAGCGGGTGGAAGGGGGCCAGGGCGCCGGGAGGACCTCGGCGAGGATGCTCGCCGCGGCGGGGTGCAGCGGCCTCGGAGCGCGGTGCTAGCCGAGCGCGGACCGCAGGGGCTGGAGCAGCGATCCCGGGCTTGGGGGGGTTCTTGGAGGAGGAAAGGTGGGTCCTGGGTCGGCCTGTGGACCTGCCAGGCTGACTTCCAGGTATGGAGCTGCGCGGCGAGGGTGTCGAGGAGGCCAGACGGGATGCTGCTGGAGCTTCCTCCGGCCCCTTCCCGCTGGCCAGGTATTTAAGCAGACAGGGCAGGCCCCGGGCGGCCAATGAGCACGCGGCCTGGGGCTGAGTGGGCCCAGCGGGCCGGGCCCCGCGAGGGCAGGTCTGGGGGTGGAAATGGGATGGAGTCAGCGAGGTGAGCGAGGGCGCCCGGTCCGGAGTGACCTGTGCGCTGCTCCCGGGCGGGAGCGCCGCCGGCTCCGCCCGGGGCTTATCCTCGGGGAGGCCACCGCCGAGTTCACACGGGTGTGCCCGGCGCCTCCCGCCCTCCCCCACTTGCACTTGCACAATCGCGCTGCAGGGCGCCCAGGTCTCCGCGTGCAACCCCGGGAAGCCTGCCGCGGGCCCAAAAGCCGGCGCCTCACGGAAGCGGGTTTTTGCCAGTCTGGACGGAACTCTTCTTGGAGGTAGGTTGGTTTTCTGCGCCTCCCAAGGTGGGGAGGGTTTGAGACTTACTGAAAAGCATTCAGAGAGGCGATTTCTTTCTCTTACGGGTCTTAGCTTGGGCAAGGAGGGCTAGTTGAGTTCAGAAACTTCCTCCCTGGCTGCTTCATTTTGGGGTCGTTATGAAGATTTAATAAATTAACACAGGTAAAGCGCCTACCACAGAGCCTGGTCCATAGCACGCACTATAGTTATTACATCTGTAAGTAACTGCAATAAATGCTGTGGGGGCGTGGCTCGCAGGTGACGCTAGGCCACCTCTCCCACCTGCATCAAGCCCTTCCCTCTTTTTGGAAACCGACTACGGCTTGCAATGGATGCGCAGGTGCCCACCCTCCCCACCCCGCTCTGCCAAGTCCATCCTAAGCAAGCGCGGGGACGCACACACGGGATTTCTAGAGTCATCGTGGCCGGCAAGAGTGGAACTCGCTTTACAATTCCGGAAGGGAAGTTGGAGATTTTGTTGATTGTTTCAAAGTGATTCATAATCTTTCATTCTGATCCAGCCCAAGAACTGCCGCAGGCTGGCGGGCCGCTGAGGAGGCTGTGCTTCCGTTACTGGTTTTCCAGTCACGTGACTGTTTTCTGTTTTGTTTTTTTTTAACCAAAGGGGAAAATCCTCTCCTAGTAAATTCACTGTAAACTTTTAGTTTGTTTCTTGAAAACTTAGTCCAGCTGAAGCTTGAGCATTGTCATTACTAATTTGTCCTGAGAGGTTAATGACTATTAATAAAAATAACAGCCATATACATTTTATATAAATATAATTGTTATATATTGTCTACTTACATAGAGAACTATATATACACTATATAATACACATTATATAGCCTATGCTATAGATTGCATAGTATATGAAATATGCACTGTCATATATACAACACTCCATGTCATACAACACTCCATAAATTGTAACTCATACTGTTAAGTCAGCAGATTGAATTATCCCCTGCCTTATTCTTTCTTTTCTTTCTTTCTCTCTTCAGGCACATAACTTAAAGCCATTAATTTCAGATTTTCTACATTTGTCTATGGGTTTAGCATTATGTGGCTTTACAAACTCCAAGTAGATACTTGCAAGTGTAGACAAGCATTAGTCTCAATAGCCAGCAAGAAAATTCCTATTTCAGGGAAATTGGTTTCTCATCTCCAGAGGAGAAAGTCCCCAGTAATTTTTATAGTGGAATGCAGAGGAATGAAAGGCTGGTTCTTTGAAACTCGATTGTCATCAGCCCATACCCATCCTTGATGAGATGCAGCAAATTCAAAATGACTGCTTTGAACCCAGTCCCAGAAACTCACTCCTCCCCCTTGGCCTCATCCCTAGCTCATTGCTTAGCCTCTATGAGTCATCCCGAAAAGGATCCTGCTGGGAATTACTAATGAGAGATCTTGAAGGGCCTCGGAAATGCCCTCCATCATTACAGAGAGAGGCCCAGGCCCTCTATTTTGTTCTGGGAAATCTTACTGAGCCTTGAATGGATAATTACACTGCAGCCCTCACACCAAGCGGCCACAGATGACCAAGTGTCTGTGTATGTGTGCACGTGCGTGAGCATGTGTGGTAAGGGTGGGGTGGTCAAGTCCTTGGGAGGGTGATGGCTGACTTCTCCTGAAAAACACAAAACTCCTTCAAATATATGAAGTGGTAATACAGTTTTATGCTTCAGAGCTTTGGCTAAACTAGGGTGTGAGTCCAGATCTGCTTTCTGATTGTGGAACCTAAGAGGACTTGCTTCCCACATCTGTAGACTGGACAGTGTTCAAACCAGCCTCACAGTAAAGTTCAAGCCTCATAGAAATAGCAATAAAAATGATATCCAGTCTCGTGGAATTCACTGGGAGAATAATGTATATATAGTTCTTAGCACAGTAAAGTGCTCAGTAAATATTACCTCATAGCATTGCTGTATTACCTGCCTCATATTCTGCAAACTACATATGAGTCAACTTACCAGGTCTCAACTATTATACCTTGTGTTCAGCTTAGTATTGCAATTTAGACTCAGGAAACTGTATAGTTGAATAAACCCAAAGGAAGATTAGCAAAGACATGCTGTTGAGTTCAAATCCCAGCTCTGTCACTTAGCAGCCAGATAAACTTGGGATAATTTACTTATCTGTCAGCCTTGTGTACCTCATCTCAAAGTAGTAATAATGGTAGTACCCACCCAGTAGGGTCTTTTTTTTTTTTTTAGGGTGACAAAACATTGAAAGTTTCTTGTATACAATAAAGGCTCCAGAATGTTTATTGCTCAAGTTATTACAGAGCTAAAAACTACAGGGGATGAGTCTCAAATAATTAAAGTCATAATCTCTATTACATTTGTCTTCAGGTTCTCTAATTAGACAAAAATCTCCTTAAAATTACAGACATGGTCTCCTTGTTTTTGTCTTTCCTAGAGCATATGACACAATGCTGTTTCCCTGGTCAGCACCCAATAAACAAATAATAGGCAATTGATTATTGATTATTTCCTCATTCTCAAGTGAAAAGAGAAAGATCAGTATGAATATATTCTTTGTTTTCTGAGGAAGAAGTTGTTGGTAAATCCTGGAGAGTTTTATTTGTGTGTCATGTAGAAAGTAATTCTGTGTAACTGAAATAATAGTTTTATTTGGTCTATTATTTCTTTTATAACCACAGCTTGTGTTGAAGCTATGGCCTGGCCCCTCATAAGCTGTGTGGTCTTGGGCAAGCTTTTAACCTCTCTGAGCCTAGTTTCCTCATTCATAAAATTGGGGGTTACTATACCTGTCACAGGAAAATTAAGATGAATCCATGAAACACAATTAACCATTGTCCTCATAAACATCCATTTGGCCCCTGACACGCTTGATGATTTCTGAGTAGAATTGAATCTTCTTGGTAAGTCAAAGTTATATTATGCTAAAAATGTATCTTAAATTTTCCAAAATGCAGTTACATGGGAAGAACTTTTCAAAGGTTCATTAAAAGAGCCACTCCATTTTTAAAGAGAGGAATAATATAGCATGTACACTCAAGTTTATGAATCATTTTCCTCTCACTACAAATTATGATTTATTGAGGAGCTACTATGTGTGTGCCAGGTATTTTACTATCTGTACCCACACAGTAATACATATGGTAACTATTGTTTTCCATTTCATATGAGAAAACCTATTTCTTACAGAGTTTAAGCTAGACTTGGGTTTGAATCTACCTTGCTACTTATTACTAAGTTAGTTCACCTTGTCCTCATCTGTAAAATGGAAATAATAGTAATAGCTTATATGTTATTATAACATTATTGTTATCATAATTTAAGTAGTTACAATCTTATAACTTGAATTCTAGTTTGCTTCAGGATGTCAGCTCCCTGGGGACCCCTAGACTGTCCTGTTCTCTGGTATATTCTTAGTGTCGATAACTATGCCTGTCATCAGTTTAGGTGCTCAACAAGTATTTGTCAAATGTTACATTTAAAAACAACAGAGATTAAATGTCATACCTGCTATCCCTGTACTTGTTTAATTTGATTGATTCTACGCCTCTAGTGAAACACAGTTCCTGATAAAAGATGTGTTTAATTACACATCTTATATATAAAGAAACATATTATTTTGTTTTCATTTTTCAAAATGTCTTGGAAAATAGAGATCTGTATGAAGATGTGCCCTCTTTAAAGTAATAAAGTGTCTCCATGTGAAAATAGAATCGATTAAGTGAGTTAATATTTTGAACAGTATTTATTACATGGTAAACACTCAGTAAGTATTGGCTGTTATTACTATTAATAATAAGTTTGGAGGATATAGATATAAGTATCTGATCTAGAGTCAGGTTAAGCCAGCTAATGAAAAAAAATCCATTGATTCGGGAAACTTCCATTGGTACTATATAAGTTTCATAATTGACTTTAAAAATCACATCATCACATAGATATCCATTCTGTGCTTTCTTGCATGATACAAGTTGGCTAATTCCATCAGGGTGAAAATCAGGGAAGTTCCATGACAGAATTGTTATTGCTAATTATTTTGGACCCAAAGTACATTTTGCTTTGCTCCTGTATGTCAAGAGCCTGCCGTGACATATCTTATTATGGCTGTTCACTTGGATAAGGCATTGTTGAGCTCTGGCTGTGTTTTGCCAGGACTTTAATGTGAACCACCAAGTGCATACTTCAGTGGGGCATTGGCACCTACAGGGAGCTGGTGGAAAGTCCCTCTGTAATCAGGATGAGTAAACTCCAGGAGGAGTAGAAATGGATATCCGCTTGTTTGTCAGGATTCATGAAGTGGACCAAGTGAACAATTCTAAAACAAGAAGATTCTAGAAGAGTTCTTTTATCTTTGGGGGCAAAAAATGTTTAGTTGGCAGAGTATGTAAGCATATTTTGTATAGTAGCAAATACCAAATGGTCCTCAGAATCTTGATCTTATTCCCTGATTTTCCACTGACAGAGAACAGCTATGCAACTTTCCGTATTTTGGCTCTTGTGCGACGTCAAATGATGATGTTTACAGCAGCAATGAGGAAGTCCGTCAGAGTCCAATTCTACTGCAACCTGGAATAGAATCATTTGGGATCTTACATGTTTACATGAATACACGGATTCCTCAG